TTTTTGGATTGATGCTGGTAGTGATTGATGCTGGAGCTCACCATCAGCCTCCTGCAGAGGTGTCTACCTACCACCGTTCTGGGTAACACAGAGTCTCACCTCTGCTGAGTGACAGTCACCATCCCATGCCAGAGTAAAGCTGCTCACACAGCGGGTCTGCCTGGATGCTGGCCCTAGAATTCCATACGTGAGTGGTGATTGGCATCATCTCATGGGAGTACCCATGCTAGCTCATGGCTAATCTCCACTTCCACAGAGACCCTGAGAAGTCTGGCAAGGCTGTGACCAAGGTGAGTTTCAGCGTGAACTCTGAGTTTCACCAGTTTCTGAGTTACTGTTCCTCGGCCTGAGGAGGCAGATGGCCTGAAGGCACACAGGTGCCCTCTGTGCCCATCTGGCAATTCCCAGTCATAGAGGACAGACAAGTCTGCCCAGGTCACCGACTGCACAGGTATACTGCTTCATGGTAGGAAGCTGCTCTGCAGATACTTATGCAAGATGGAAAATGAACTGTTTCTGAATGTAAAGCAAAGCAAAGTCACATGATGACAGCAGGCAACACTCCTCCCTCTCACAGGGTGACTGATAACCTGCTGTTACAGTTTGCTTTTTTTTTTTTTTTTTTTTTTCTGTTCCAGTATTTTTAGGCAGTGTCTGTGTGTCTGTTAGTTTGCCAAAACTGCTCTATCAAGCTATTGTGATGTGCCTGGCTTAGAACTACAGAAATGTGGGGACATCTCTAAGACAGAATGCTCCAGAATCCTCTAGGTCATGGGTTTTGTTCTCAGCACTGGGAATGGGGGTGGGAGGTGGAAATGGGACGTGTTGGTGCACAGCTGTAATCCCAGCATTCAAATGGATCAGAAGGTCTACACCGCAAGTTCAAGGCCAGCCTTGACTCTGTGAGACCCTTTATAAATAAATAGATAGATAGTAAACAAATAAATGAATAGACAAATAAATAAAATAATGAAAGATAGGAAGAAAGAAAGGAAGAAAAGAATCATGAAAATAACCCCCTTCTCAAAATTATTGCCTCACAGTTGCAGAGGGCAGATGTATGGAATCATTGTCAGTAGCACCGCATACCCTAGGAAGCTGAGCAGGACAATGCAAACAGACCACGTGCCTCTCCTAATTTGTGGGGGCTCTGACCATCATTTGCAGACCTTGTTCCACCGTACATCTGCCTCGGTCTTCACATCATTTTTCCTGAGACCCTGTATCTTCCCTTATAAAGGCAACAGTCTAGGAGTGTACCCTAAATTCTGGGTGATCTCATCCTAAGAGCATTAACTTAATTTTATCTGCCAAGGCTCAGTACCCAAGTAAGATCACGTTCACAGGTACTGAGAGTGAAGATTCATGCATATCTTTCCGAGAGATAATATTCAATCTATAAAAGCTGAGAAAAGAAAATCCTACAGAAGACAGGCATTTGAGTGAGACAAATGCCCGATTCTTGTCATTGAAGGAATTCCCAGTTCTCCTGGCCACACAATAACAACCTGGGGTCTAGTTATTGGAGTAGTTTAATTTCTGGAAACAGTGCAAATCTTTAAAGTATTTAAGCTGCCAGCAGCACAGAGCCCCTATTGTGTGGTACGGCCTCCCCTTCCGTAGGCAGGATGCCTGTGACAAAGGCGGGAAGGTAGTGCTTGTCCACCGAGGCTCATTCCCTGTTAACTTTTTCTCTTGTAGAAAACAAACAAAACAGGATTAGCCATCTTATTTTCTAGAACAGTGACATACTTTTCTTTTAGAAAGTATGACATTTAGTATGGACAATAATAAAGAACATTTGCAGCATTGAACAGCAAAATTACATATTTAGGCATGATGGGGCAGAGGAAAGCTTACTTAGAATTTTATCTCCTTTTTCTTTTATTTCCACTGTTAGGGCAGTTTACTAAAATAACCACAAAACATCTCTGATATCATTTCCACAACTAAGAGTGAAAACGTGGTCCAAATAACACGCCTACTCCTCGACGCTTGCTTAGCATCTGGCATGAATCACCCTTTCCAGTTTGTAGGTTGGCAACGAGTCTGTTTCACCCAGGCCGCTGGAAACTCTTACTGGAATTCCCAGTAAAAGAATAGTGACACAGATAAGTTATTCCACAGTGGGAAGTCAGCTGTCTGTCAAAACAGTGGTAGGGGGCACAGCATGTAGGGGTTTTTGTTATGGGCTGGATGCTCTGGATTCCTGGTCGACTCACTCTGGGTGAGACGGACAGATGGGAATAGGCACGGTCTTTTGATTTTCTTTTAGCCCAACCTGAGGCTGTGTCTGCTCTACAGTTCTATGCCAGATAATTCTTAAGACGCATGGCAAATAGAGAAGGACTTGAAAGACCAGCTGTTAACGCAGTCCAGAGAGTCCATTTTAACAGAAAACACCGGAAACATGCCAATGAGAAAGCCAGAAACAACCAATGGCATTCAAGATAGCAACAAACTTGTGTTATTGTACACTTAGCAGGATACCACCACAGATACCTCTAAGTGCATTAGTGAGGTGAAAAGAACAGACACAGATATCATTTGATTTACAAGGTGTGGTGGTTTGATGAGAATGGTGCCCATATGCTCACAGATTTGAATGCTTGGTCCCCAGTTGGTGGGACTGTTTGGGAAGGACCAGGAGGTGTGGCTTTGTTGGAGGAGGTGTGTCACTGGGGGCGAGGCTTTGAGGTTTCAAACAGCCCACACCATTCCCAGTTAGCTCTTTCTGCCTAGTGCTTGTGAATCAGGATGCAAGCTCTGAGCTACTGTGCTAGCCACACCTGCCTGCCTCTTCCCTGCTCTCCACCACATTAGGTCATAGACTCTAGAACCTTCTGGAACTGTGAGCCCCCAGATTAAATGCTTTCTTTTGTAAGTTGCTTTGATCATGGTGTTTTGTGACAGCAATAGAAAAGTAACTAAGACACAAGAGGAAATCTTTGACACGGGTAAATATTCAAACAACTATGTCTGTGTTAGCTTTCTGTTGCTGTAACCAAACACCAACGGAAGCCAATTCAGGGGCAGAAAGTTCATTTAGCTTCAGACGCTTAAGTTCAGGATTGGTGGTGGCTCATACTATGACTTCCAATCCAAAGGTTAAGTCCTTGAAGGATGCTTAGCTTATCTGGGTGTCTAAAATTGATGTCTAGGACCAAAGACATTTCTTTAATTTTCTTTTGAGATTTACTCATTATTTGATGTGTATGAGTACTCTACCTGCATGTATGTATGTGTATCGTGTGTGTGCCTGGTTTCTATGGCAGTCACAAGAAGGCCTCAGATCCCCTGGGTCTGGAGTTACAGATGGTTGTGAACTACCGTGTCCATGCATTCTGGGGATCGAACCTGGGTTCTCTGTAAGAGCAACAAGGGCTCTTAATGATGAGCCAACTCATCTAGATATCTTGCATTGTTTCTAAGATTTTGTTCCATTCAATAATCAGAAACATCCCAGCAGCACAGACAGTAAGGGCCGCATTGAATAAATGGGACCTCCTGAGACTGAGAAGCTTCTGTAAAGCAAAGGACATTGTTGCTAAGACAGAAAGGCAACCCACTGACTGGGAGAAAATCTTCACCAACCCCGCAACTGACAAAGGTCTGATCTCCAAAATATATAAAGAAACTAGACTGTAAAAGGCTAATCAACCCAATTATAAAATGGGGCACTGAGCTGAACAGAGATCTCTCAACAGAAGAAGTTCAAATGGCCAAAGGACACCTAAGGTCATGCTCAACTTCCTTAGCGATCAGGGAAATGCAAATCAAGACAACTTTAAGATACCATCTTACACCTGTCA